TTAAATATCTAAGTGACTTAAGATATTTAGCAATATTTGTTCCAAGACTTATAGTGGAGTGTCTCTGTAAGTTAAGACTTAATTTAATTGGAAAAAATATAATTAAAGAAAAAATTACCGATTTTTACAAAGTTGGCATTTACTCAATTGAAATGAAAAAAACTAAACCAAAACCCACACTTCTGTATCTCTTACATTTCTGTTTGTGGACAGGAGGAAGAGGGTATTTTCTGTTTTTAATTTAGCAATAAGAATACCTGATATTAAAGGGAAATAGACATAAACATGTTTTTTAATTTAAAATGTATCTATTCATTTATATGGTATATATCACCCTCTACAAAAAAAAAAATGACATTTGTCTTTCAATCTGTCAAGCTTGGCTAAAAAATTCATGTATCTCTTTTCTATATCACATATTGACATGATATAGGATGTAAGATATAAATATCAATTTAATAGACTATTAAATAATTTTGGAAAATCTTGGATAAATGGTTAAAATTAGAGATTGACATTAAGTGTGGGCACAGGAATATTCTGTGTACACCAATGGGTTTAACAGAAGATGTGTTTGCACTGATTTCTGGTCATCAACTTGCTTTCTGTGAATCTTTAAATACCGAGTTCCAAATCTTCCAGCTCCTGGAGAAGGGCTGTTTCTTTTTGAATTTTCTCCAACCGATTTTTTCTAGCTGTTTTCCAGTTGCTGCTTGTTCTTTCAGTTGTTCGATTGCTTTCAGTTTCCTCTTTAGGTTCTTGATTTTTTTTGCCTATCTCAGGATCCCCTGAAATTGACTGAGAGATAGTGCTTCGTGGTGTGCTCTGTGGGGCAGGAGTAGGTGCCAAATCTGGACTCTTGTCATCTTGCTTCCTGCTTTGCAGCTTTCTTAGCTTCATGCTTCCTTTGATTTTTAAGAGCTGTTTTTGATAATGGCTTATCATTTCCTGATTGTGGTTTCATATTCTGAGGTGGTTCCTCTTCATACAGTTTGGAATTGGTGATTGGTTTATTTCTTAAAGCTGGAGGTCTATAAGCTGTTGTAACTTTAGGTTCCTCATTGGGTACTTCGCTTGGAACTGCTTGGTAAGTTATTGTTTTTGCTGGAAATATTCCATCCAAAAATGGCTGCCAAGAAACCTGCCATAATTCTGCATTTGATGGCACGTCATACTTGTGCAAGATAGCGCCAGTATAATGCCAAATTTTGTATCCATTATTAACCCGTAATCTGGGAGCACATGTGGCTGTTAAAATATGCTCACCATCCGGGCACCAAGCAAAATATGTAGAATTGGAAGCCACTGGTTTAGAAATAAGTTTGTAGTTTTTCACATCCCACACTTCCATTTGTCCTCTCAGATTTCCAAATCCAGCTAATACTAATATATGTCCATAAGGGCTATAGTAGGCTGCATTACGAGTACCAGTTCCAAAGTCAAATACAGGATCACATTTCAAGTTGAAAAGTGTCGCTTTGGCAGGCATAAAACCATAAACAGCACAAAACTCAGTAGAACTAGAATTCCAAATTACATCATAAATGGGGCCATTTTTTGGTAATTGTACTACAGCACTTTCTCCATTTGTTGCGATGTAGTGCAGAGTGTGTTCTCCATAGTAGGAAGCTCCTGTCTTGTCAACATCTATGCTAGCTATCACCAACACAGCAGTAGCTTTTTTATTCCACAGCATTGTAACCTTATCAGCCTTAAAGAAACTTTTATTAGCTAAAGCTGCATGAGGTCCAGCAAAGTTGGGGTACTGATATAATCTTAACAAATGAAGGTGCACCTTTACTTCCTGGAACATAGACAGCCACCTTGTATGGTTGTGGTCCAGGTGATAATACAAAATCATTAATTTTTTGCAAATGCAATTTATTTGTAATTGTGTTAAAATTGTTGTTTTCAAAGCAGTGAACTTCATTGCTAACATTGTGGGCACAAAGAGTTTCATCTTCTGACCAGGATGGACACCAATTTTGCATTTTTTTCTGGATGAAAGATTTCAAACATGTCCCAGTTTTCACATCATATAGTTGTAGGTTGGGTATCCCAGCTGTGCCATCTTTAGAAGTGGTATAAGGCTGCCACGTTGCCGGGACAGTGTTTTTTGGCGAGAATTCAAGGCAAACTGCCTTTGGGAGGTCGAAGGAGTGGAGTAGTCCCTTGTTAGTGACATTGATAATATTTACTTTTTCTCCATTGCCCCAGGCAAACGAGGTTCCATCCTTACTAAACATATAGGCTTTGCAATTATTCCCAGATTCCCTTGGAAACACTGTGCTTTCTGTAAAATGTGGTGATCCATTCACCATGTACAGTCCTTCTGATCCCAGGACTGTCAAGAGCGGCCTGGATGGCGCCATATTGTCCAGGAAAGAGAAACCCATCCACTGCGGTGAGAGTTCACGAGGGCGGCACCCGGCCCCTACACGTCTCCTCAAGCATGGAGACAGCGAGTTGGGACATAAACATTTTTATAGGTATTCACATTCCTAGGTCCTCCTTATGCTGATAAGCTGCCATGGCTATTTTCTTAGAAGAGAAATCTACTTTGCCAAACTCCCATTATTCAGAAGTTTTTAACGTCTACCAGTTGTATACTAAACACCTTCAAAAACCTTCTTAAGTACTACTCTCCATGAAAACTTCTCAGATATCCCAGCCTGAGTTAATCATTCGTCCTTTATTTTTGTATCTTAATGCACTCATAGTAGGTGCTTAATAAATGCCCTTTTAAGCATATCCATGGAGAGTTTGCTGAAGGTCCCTAATGTATGTCTATTGAATAATTAAGAGACCACCCTCCCTTTCCAGCCTTCCTGGGAATTGCCAAGGTCCCATGTACACACGTGCCTATCCTATTCTGATGAAACAGATGTCCCTTGTTTGGATGACACATATATTTGTGGTTTGCATAATTATGCAGTAGAGCTAGAAGGACTTTAGGAACAATCGATGATTCAATACAGTTAGCTCAGTGACTGGTCAATTAAATTTTCTAGGACCTGGTATCCTTGTCTGCAAAGTGTGTCTGTTCAACTGGATAATCTCTCATTGTCCTTCCTGAACCAAAAAATGCATCTACAAAGTGACACAATTCTAAGAAAATTTTAAGTGGGAAAAACATATTTACAATTGGTTAAGCGTGATGATGAGTTTTTCCTCTTCTGTTTACTTGATGGATTGTTTTGGAGCCACTGTTATTTGATTGTAGATTCAAAAGTGACCTGTGAAACATCTTCCAATCTTAGGGTCATAACTCTATTTATTAATAACTGCAATAAAGAAAATAAATGAATGTTTTAAAATTAGCTAGCTAATACTTTGGATAAAGATTCTAATGGGGAAAATGTTAATGGCAGCAACACTTGAATTCACATGTTTATTAATTCAACAATTTTTTCTTTAAAATGACACACCAGGCCTGGCACGGTGGCTCACGCCTATAATCCCAGCACTTTGGGAGGCCGAGGCAGGTGGATCACGAGGTCAAGAGATCGAGACCATCCTGGTCAACATGGTGAAACACTGTCTCTACTAAAAATACAAAAATTAGCTGGGCATGGTGGCACGTGCCTGTGGTCCCAGCTCCTCAGGAGGCTGAGGCAGGAGAATTGCTTGAACCCAGGAAGCGGAGGTTGCAGTGAGCCAGGATCGCGCCACTGCACTCCAGCCTGAGTAACAAGAGTGAAACTCTGTCCCCCCAAAAAAAAAAACCACACACCTGCTGGGCTATCACCCTTCTCACCTAAGAACACATGAAAGGTGACTATTTTAATACTGGTTGATGTTTCACTAGAAAGGTTCTTTGTGGAAAGTTTATCTAGATTATAAGGACTATGACGTTAAGAACTGTGTGTAGTTATTTTTTTCCCAGCTCTGAAATATGTATTGCTGAGCACAATGTCTTTTATTCATTTAATAATTTACTCAAGCCACTTGTGCACGGTTTTCAAAGTGCCAAGAATACTCAGAGTCTCCATTCATAGAGAGCTCACAGTCTAGGAATGGAGACTGGATGCAAAACATTTTCAATTCATTATAAATTCTGTCATTAGGGAGTGAGAAAGTGTCTTGGGAGCATAGAGAAGAGGGCCTTTCATAAAGCTCTGCTGTACCAGGGGAGCCTTTAAGGTGCAGGCTAAGTCTCAAGGATAAGTGACAATTAGGCCGGGAAAAGGGAGGGTTGAGTAATTAGGAGGGCAGGAGGGGTTAGATGGTGATAGCCTGTGACAAGGAGATCGTGCTTCAATATGAGTTGAGTTTGAAGTACCCAGTAGATGAGGGCTGCAAATTGAGGCTGGAAAGGCAACTAATTGTAATTGAGAGCAGATGGTTAGACTGGCAGTCTAGAAAATACATTTTGACGTCATCCTGAGGGCAATAATAAGTTACTAAAAAGCTTTAAACTGAAGAATGACAGTAGAAAATGGATTCAAGACACTAAAATAAGGGCTGTTATAATAATATAGGTGAAATTTGATGGAGACCTGAATTTAAAATATTGGTAGTAGGGAGGGAAGGAAGTGAGTACAATAGAAATTAATGCTCAGATAAATGTAGTAAGGTGGGACTGTGGAGAGTTAAGCCCAGGCTTGGGAGAACAGTATTAGGCACAACATGGGCATTTGTTGAATCGAATTCAAATATTTAATGAATTGCTGTGTATTTGTTATTTTCCAAAAGGAATTTTGTACTTAGAAGATTATTTTTTGCAGAATATTTCCCTTTTAACTGAAGTTGAGTTTGGAAAAACCTCTATCTTGTATCTGGTCAATTAACAAGAGTCTCCAGGAAAATAAGAATGTGAAGTCAATGTGTTTTTCTTTTATGTATTTCATATAATCATATTTTAATGGCAGGAATTAGGCATAAATTTGATTCCTGCTAATTCCACTCTCAATTCCTCAGCTGAAGGTAAATGCTTTGTGAAAATATCAACATGCATTTGAATGTTCACAGCAACATAATTCCTTCTCCTTCCTTTACAGTTTTGATGTGGACAATGGCACATCTGCGGGACGGAGTCCCTTGGATCCCATGACCAGCCCAGGATCTGGGCTAATTCTCCAAGCAAATTTTGTCCACAGTCAACGCCGGGAGTCCTTCCTGTATCGATCCGACAGTGATTATGACCTCTCTCCAAAGTCTATGTCCCGAAACTCCTCCATTGCTAGTGATATGTAAGTACAAGGGTAGGCAAAGAGAAGAGGGAGCTCCTACAGAAAACCAAGTACATTTATATCTAGAGTTGATGATTGAATAAAACTAATGACTTTTGTTCAACTGAATCACTCTTTCAATATAGAAAGAATATGAATAAAGTCATGCAAACTAGAAATGAATGGTAGATTTAACTTGAGTGCACTGTCACTCTTGATTCACACACACACACACGTACACACACACACACACACACACACACACACATGTTTATTTTCCCAGAAGACACACTTTCTGGGAAAACTGAGAATTTTTAATGAAAACTAATACTTAATCATTAGCTCCTATTTATGTAGAAACTGAGTTTTAGCTACCCAGCTACATGGATATTTTCTAATATTTTGAAAAGCTTTCAACTCAGTTTGAAAATTCCTTTGATAAGACTGTATAGCATTTTGAATATATTCCAATTGATGTATGTACAGATGTTAGCACTGGTTTGCCAGATTGTTTAAGAAATCTTTGTGGGGTTTTGCCAGAATTAAACCAATTTTTAAATAAGGATCATTAGAGGCAAGCACAGAAAACATTAGACAGGCTTGAATATCATTTAAGGCATAGTACAGCTTGGAAAATAATGAAAACTGACAAGCAGGTTTGCAGATCATATAATGTACCATCACTTGCTCATTTTCTCAATGCATTTCATTCTCGTTGTAGCGTTCATGTTTTTCTACATAGGTCTTTACTCTTACTCAATACTTGCACTATCACCTGTGGCACCTCTGCCTCTGCATAGAATTGATCTTCATTTTTCTCTCTTGGTTTATACATTTGTCCAATAACATTTACCATGTTTTTATGACACCCATCTCAAAAACTCATAACAGGATGCAATTTATCTTTTAATAATTAGACTGTATGGGACCCCTGTCTGTCTAGTATTATTCTTGCTCTTCTAACAGAGCATCAGGGTATTGCAATAGGTCTACATGGGGTTCTAGAAATGAAATTATATTTTACTCATTTTTACAAACTATAGTTGCTGTTTTATTAGCAGTTGTATTATTTATGTCTATCCTTCTTCATCCCTAAACAACTTTCTATTCCTAGTGGCCCTATTTCTATGTTATTTTTATTTCACTTTCTTAGATTTGAAATTCAAGACATGTATTCATTCACACATAATGAGAATGCTTCTTGAGCAAATACTATGTATTTAAAGCTCTCAATCTGTGGAGTGGTGAGGTCTGGCATGTGTTAGACCATTGCAATAAAATACCAGGAACACCATCCTTGAGGCATTTACAAAGCACTGCAGGAACATAGAGAAGAGATGGAGAGTTTTCCACCCAAGGGAAAGGTGCAGAAAACACTGGGCTAAGGAAACAGCACTTGGTAAATATGAGGCATGGAAAATTACAGCTGAACTAAGGAATGACAGTCTGTGTGATGTGAATAGCGAAACCTGGCAAGAGAGAAGAAAGATTCAAATACAGCCTATGGGACTGGAGAGCCACAGAGGTTTTTAGCTGGATTTGGCATGATCATATTCTGACTCTATTGTTGAATGATTGTGTAGCGAAGTGACTATAGGGAAGTATTTCATGTCAAAATTCACAGAAGTAAGGCAGGATAAATATGATGAAGAGCTAGGTCAAGGGAGTGATGGCAGTGGAGCAAAGAGTTGGTTCAGATACAAGAGGCTTTGAGAGAGAGAGAGAGAGAGTGAGTGTGTGTGTGTGTGTGTGTGTGTGTGTGATGTATGTTTCTATGTATGTTGGGAGACAACCAGTGGAAAAAGAGAATCAAAAAGAGTGCTGATGTTTTGACCATGAAAGAATATGTAACTGGTGATGTGGACATGAGAAGCAAGGAGCAGAAAACGTGACAGATAACAGGTGATGAATTTGACTTGTACATGCTGAGGCTATGGGAAACAAGACAACAGTTAAAGGACCAGGACAGCAAACAGAAATAACAGGCCAGAAGACCTGGAAAAATGAGAACAGTGACCTTCCATAATTACTAGGTTTTTGAATGACAGTTGAGTGGAGCGTCGTATTCGGGTAATAGCTTTAGGAGCCCCTGAATTAAAGAGTGAATTTAAAGTGAAAATGTGAACAAGCCCAGGCATCTCTTTAAAAGGCTGATGAGTGAAGCAGGAAGAGAGAACGAAGGCTGCCTGACGGAGAATTAGGTTTAAGCAGACTTTTTAAAAATTCAGGATACTTTAGCTGAGGGAAGGGTCTAGGAGATAGAAAGAGACTGAAAATTCAAGAGGAAAAAAGGGTTAAAGATGGAGCCGTTGTTGCTGACAAAGATTAGATCGTGAGCTGAAATAGGGATACTATCCTTGGAAAGGTAGTAGATACCAGAACTATTTGCTTTAGGAAGGACAAAGACCCGCCTGGCCAACATAGTGATACCTTATCTCTACTAAAAATAAAATAAAATAAAAATTAGCTGTGGATGGGTATGGCATGTCTCTACTAAAAATAAAATAAAAATTAGCATGCACCTTTAGTCCCAGCTACTCTGGAGACTGAGATAGGAGGATTGCTTGAGCCCGGGAGTTCAGGGTTGCAGTGAGCTATGATCATGCCACTATACTCCAGACTGGGTGACAGAGCAAGACAAGACTGTGTCTGAAAGAAAAGAACAGAAAGGAAAAAAGAAAAGAAAGAAGAAGCAAGAAGAAAAAGAAGAAGACGAAAAGAAATGTGTAAAGCTCTTAGCCATGAGTATCTAAACATTCTCCTCTTCCATCTCCAAATGAATGAATGTAAAAGTAGAAGGTACAGCCGTAAATAGCCAGAGGAGAGAGGGATGGGGCAGCTTGAGAAGAAAGGGCAAGGCTTAAAAAAGCCACTATGCAGATCAAAAAAGGGGACAGGGTAGAAGTGAGTAGAATACTGACCAGCCCCATAGATAATAATAAACAATATTAAATAGGCAAATGACCGAATTGAAAGTCATCTAATCCAACTTCATCAAAGGCAAGTCAACCTTGAAATTGATAAAGGAAAGGGGAAAACTTACAGTAAGTTAGTGGAGACCATTTATATAGTTATGTGTTCTACCTTTATAAATTGTAGTAAGCTCAGTTTTGGATAGTTTATTTCTTTCATACACTCTATTTAGTAAATATTAAATATACATATGTATTTATGAAAATCTTACAGCATTTTATATTTAAATATGAAGTGCTTTTATTTCAAAATCAGACTTGCAAAAATGACCTCATTTTGCTGTGTGCCTCAAGAGTTTCTTTATCTGATCAGACTCAGGTAGGAGTGACGAGTTTCATCAGACCAAAAGTCAACTCTATATGCTACTGAAAACTGATGTGTTGACATGTTTAGCTTTTCCATTCTCCCTGGATATTTACATTGGAGGAGAGAGATGTTCCTTTGACACTGACCCCTAGAAAGCATTCTTTCTACCAAAGAGATTAATTTTCTGTGGAAAGAAAAGTAAATATAATAAATAATTACTATTTTAACATTTAATCTGACACTATACATACCTTCCACCGTAAAGGACTATGCCTTCTCTTAATTTGAATCCTCATATGCCATGTGTAAACTTTAATTTTCTTACCTTACCTAGTTCACAATAATGCTATGAAGACTGTCTGATGTCTATAATCCAACTGTGCTTTATAGAGAATGATGTTATGATATATTTAATTACTTGATGATTTTATATTAATTGTTCTAGTTAAGCTTTCCTATTGAGAAAATTTCTTAGAAATTTCAAACACAAACAGTACATACCTAATGAAGGGTATTTAAAATGAAGGCTTGTGGTTATCTATTTAATTGAACTGTTTTGGAAAACCTGTAAATACTCTTTAATTTTAAATACAACTATTTACTACATTGGAAAAGTGAAAAAAGGAAAAGAATTCCTTCCTAGTAGATAGGATATCATCTTATCCTCTATAAATAGAAACCAGTGAAATAGCTGAAGAACAAAACAGTTAAAGATGGTAGTAATAATAGTCATAGCATACACGGTGTGTATATATTTGTCATCAACTTTCCCAAGTATTTTCATACCAGTTATCTCATTTGATATACTCACAGTCCTTTTGATAGGGACATTGTTATGCTGTTTTACAGATTAGAGAGCCAAAGTCCTTGAGCTTAATCTTTTTGTTAAAAAAAAAAAAAAGCATTTTGATCATTTCTAGGAGCACATAATTTTGATAATGCCATTGTAAATAAAATACTGTATATTACTACAGCAAAAACTGCCGAGAAACAGAAGTACCTGTTGACCAAATTTATTAGACCAGTGAATTACATAGCACTATGAAAATTTGATTAAGAATAAAATAAAAGCTCAAAGAGGTAACCAAGTAAATATGCAGCCAACTCTTAGAAAATGTATACCAGTATGTAGTACTAGGCTAATCTCAGAATCTAAAAAATTAGCTTATATAAGGCAGAGGAGAAGTTCCTGGCCACTTCTGCTCAAAGACCATCACACAGTTTGTTAAATATAGATGATGCAGTAGCAACTTAATTCTTAAGAAAAATAAGAAAAAGAAAAATGTAGAGTTGGCATGAGTCTAGTAAATAAATACATGAAAATAAATTTGAATTACCACTAACAGTAAAAGGGTTTTTTTAATAATGGTAGAAACAACTAGTTAACAAAAGTTTGCCCAAGTGATGTCATGAAGAAACATGAAGAGAATTGTAGTGTAAATAGACAATATTTTTGTCTTCTTAATATTTCAGCATCTAAATAACAGCCATTTCTGTTGTTTCCCATCATCCAGTAATATAATATCTGTATTTGGAAACACATAAAGATATGATACATTGCAAAGATTAAGAGAATTAGCAGAGACAAGGTAAATAAAGTCACAAAACTGTGAATTTATTGAATATAAGTTACTTGTCAAGCTACTTAAGTTTTAAGAAATATTCAATTCACCAGGATGACTGACCCTCTATTCCCCATCCTCTGCTGAATTAACACCAACATAGAATGCAAAGATGATCCA